AATAATAAAGAAGACGATGTTCATTGAAAGTTTGTAATCAATATAATGCGATTACTGATGCTACGAGTAATAAATCTATTGCATTTTGATTGGATGGATTAATTTAATAGTGGGAGAGAAGTGTGAGAACACTAAGGATGTGGAACTGATCAATAAGATTTATTTTAATTAAAAATGATCAAAACACGATTCATCAGCTCCGCAACTTTGCTTCCAAGCCTAGGATTTTGTAGCTATGAATAAGACATGTTTGCAGATAATTTACTGCTAGTATCATTGTTCATATACTTGATTATAACTCTCGTGTGACTCCAATATAAGCTGAGGTTTGCTTACAGACAAAAAGGCACTGATCTGAGCTGACAATAGTTCAAATTTAAATTTTTAAAATGTTTTATTTTTTTACTGATTTTCGTCCAAATTTCGACATTTTGACACCATGTCTGGACATTCTGATTCTTTTAAAGCTCAAAATAAATTTTATCAAGCAAATTAACCGCTAATAATTACAAAATTCGTGAAGATTATGCATCAATCAGCAGTTAAAGTATCATAATAACAAAATTTCCGGAATTACCTCTAGATTAAATCGATTAACTCAATTTTCTTCTTCTTACTTCATTCAAGCCAGTAGGCAGTAAAGTAAATAATAGAGAAAATTTAATGACTTAACCACTCATTGTGCTTTACTGTTTTTATGGATGAGTGTAAAAAAATTTGTTACAACAAAAAAAAAAGTTGTGAAAATTATTCATTCTGAATGAAATTGAAAATAAACACTTGTAATCTAATGGGCTGCCTTAGACTAAGTTGCGGTCTTTTGTAGATCATTATGCTCTTTTTTTTGAGTAAATACAATTTGAGATATCAGCGAAAACCAGATGTGATCTCTCTCTAATTTCATTGAGTCTGATCAAAAGTACAAAATTCATTTCTTCTTGTTCTGCTAAGCTTGAACTGAAGCCAAAAATTCTTTGCTGTTCCGATGGGACGAATTTTAACACAATTTAATTTTTGTTTTTACAATTTTTACAAAAGAATTATTGATCTGACGATTGAATCTGTTGATTCTTCATTAAAATTATTCAATTTTTGCATGCAGCTGTGCCAAAAGCTCAAAATCGAGTATTTATATACTCGTAGGAATGTATGACAAATGAAGGGAAGCACAGAACTATAAATAATCACAGTTTCGCGTCTTTTAAGATGACACAAATGCGAAAAATGGGTAAAATTTATGTTGATCGGGCAATAATCAGTCAAAGATCAAGGGCGAAGCTTACTTTTAGTTACTTTGCTCTGATTATTTCCAAAAAAGCATGTGACATTAAATTACAAGCAATTTACTAGCTCTATTGACCTGCTTCCGTACTCGAATCATTTATTTTTGACCTCTGTGTGCATTATACTGTGTCGCATATTATTTATATCCATTAATTACATATACAGAAGGAAAGCCTTAATTTTTTATTCGTCGACAGATTTATTTCTTAACTTGAAGTTTGTTCTTGTGTTAGACGAAGTATTTCGTGTTTACAAAGGTGCTAAATGCTTTTTGATGTCATCATCGTCGTTGCTACACACTAGCAAATCTGACACGTCGATGTGAATGAAAGAGTTGATTTTGCTGAAGTTGTTTACTATTGACGTCCATTAAAAATTAGTTTGGGGCTATTTTGGTTACTGCTGAACACTCTAGTAGCTAATGAATTCATAGGCTGAAGATTGATGAGGCTGACAAAACATCAAGTGATTTTTAGCTCTACAGTTTTTCATCAAGTTACTCTTGCGGACCACAGCATGCTTACTTAGATTATTTAAAAGTTATTTCCAAATGTGTAGCTTAAGTTGCAACAAAAGGCTTTCCATTTGACTCTGTTGCTGGATTTGTCAACTAGTTTGTACAACATCTTCGTCCGCTTATTAAGTTGACATTTCATTCCACGCTAAGTTTCTTTTGAAGCATACAGCATGAGAAATAAACCAATTTGGTCTTTCAGCTTCTTCCCTTTAATTCAAGAAATCCTTTAATAAACGATTTTAATAGCAACAGTCAAAACCAAAGTCTTAACTCAAAAAAAAATTACAACACCAGAATCATCGCTTCTTGATTTTGCATAAAAGACATCCATTAAAAATAATTCATAAATTTAATTTAAGGTGCGCGCAGTTCGTTTAGACGCACTTAATTTTTTTCAAATTTTCCTTTAATAAACACTATTAAGACAAAAACTATTTTATGTGTTTATAGCTATGACCAATTAGGTTATAAATATAATAAAAGTATCTGACTAAATGCTTTGCTTAAGTAATTAAAATAATTTTTTCAAAAATTACAACAACAAAGTGCGCAGTTCGTTTAGACGCACTTTGAAAAATCTAAAATTTTGTCTTATTTACGTTTCGTAGAAAACTTAATCGTTTCTAATATTAATCTATCAACAAAAACGAGTAATTACTGAGGGTTTTAGAATTTTCCATCAAGTTTTTCCAGAGATTTTCCTTCATTAAAGTTTTCATGTTGCAAAAATTTTGATAAATTATTTATCCAATAATTTTAAGTTAAATTATTATTCTTTTAACTGATTTCCATAGATAATTGTCCATAATATTAGAAAATTAACAGATATTTAAGCTTTCTTATAAGTATAAGGCGAAAATATGTGAAAAATATAATTATGGTGAAAAATTTCCACCACTCTCATAGATTAATCAACAAATTTTGACAAAACTGTAGATACCATAATAAATTTGAATAGACCAGCTTATTTATCGTATTAAACTTAGTTAAAAACAGAAAACTGCACAGCTCTATGGCTAATGGAACTTGAAAATTTTACTGAAAAATTAAGTTGTGGTGAAAAAATTCACCATAGAAAAATAAAATTTTAAAAAACGTTGTTTTAGGCAATTGTTTCATTTAAATTAGGTTGTAAAAGTGTTTCTGTCTCAAAATTAATCAATTTAAAACATGAATTAAAACCTTAGACATTGTTTTTTTAAAATTTTATTTTTCTATGGTGAATTTTTTCACCACAACTTAATTTTTCAGTAAAATTTTCAAGTTCCATTAGCCATAGAGCTGTGCAGTTTTCTGTTTTTAACTAAGTTTAATACGATAAATAAGCTGGTCTATTCAAATTTATTATGGTATCTACAGTTTTGTCAAAATTTGTTGATTAATCTATGAGAGTGGTGGAAATTTTTCACCATAATTATATTTTTCACATATTTTCGCCTTATACTTATAAGAAAGCTTAAATATCTGTTAATTTTCTAATATTATGGACAATTATCTATGGAAATCAGTTAAAAGAATAATAATTTAACGCAAAATTATTGGATAAATAATTTATCAAAATTTTTGCAACATGAAAACTTTAATGAAGGAAAATCTCTGGAAAAACTTGATGGAAAATTCTAAAACCCTCAGTAATTACTCGTTTTTGTTGATAGATTAATATTAGAAACGATTAAGTTTTCTACGAAACGTAAATAAGACAAAATTTTAGATTTTTCAAAGTGCGTCTAAACGAACTGCGCACTTTGTTGTTGTAATTTTTGAAAAAATTATTTTAATTACTTAAGCAAAGCATTTAGTCAGATACTTTTATTATATTTATAACCTAATTGGTCATAGCTATAAACACATAAAATAGTTTTTGTCTTAATAGTGTTTATTAAAGGAAAATTTGAAAAAAATTAAGTGCGTCTAAACGAACTGCGCGCACCTTATTTCGTCAATTGTGGCACAGTCACGGAAATGCTTTGAAAAAGGGTTCTAAAATTAGGTCGAATGAGCAAGTGTTTTTACCGCACAAATCTGTGTAAGCACCTTCAATACAATGACCGTGAATGAGCTGAAATAACAAAATGTATACAAAATAATTTTAAAAAATATTTACAAGCATGCACGATGATTGAATTAATTGATTGCTCTTAAATGCTATGAAACTTCATAAAAATGAGGTAAAAGTTAAAGCTCTGTGCATTTATGAAAGTGAAAATTTCCACAGGTTTCTTTTATTGTTTTTATCTCATCTAGCAGCACGTAAAACCGGCATGAAGTGATGTATGTGCACATCATAGAGGCTTTAAGTCAATCAATTTTATTAAATTATCTGAAGACATGTTTGAGTGGATGTTGAAACTGCCATGCCTTATTGACAATAACATGTCAAGCGTCTAGTCAATTTCCTACCTAGTTTTAGTGACTTGGAAAAGTTGTTTGAGGTGGAAAAATCCTCAATTTTTAGAAAGGAAATGAATTTTTGATGCAATCTATGCATTTTTGAGTTCATATGGCAAAGCGACAATCTCTTTGGCGCGCCCTAACGTCGAGCATATACCATAAATGTTAAATTCCAAAACACATACCTCAAAAAGTCAAATAAATCAGATCTACTAAGCAATAAAATATTTTTTCAACTATTTACAAAGCAGGAAAATAATTATCACTCGATATTTAATGTTTGTAGCATTCATTAGCGATTCCCATAAAGACTTATCGTAAATTGATAATGAAACTTACAAGCTAGTGGAAATAAAGTCACTTATGACACGCTTAAACGCATTTTTTTGCTGAGAAATTTTCAGTTTAATTAACATTTAAATATTAACGGTTATTATAATTTTAAAAAAATAACCATCAGAACATAATTTAAAATATAACTGCAAAATTTTAAATAAACCGTTAAAAAATTAAAGTTGCTAGCAGACAGCCTTGACGTATCACAGTCAATAAACATCAAATATCTTTAGGGGAAATGGCTTAATAAAAGTTATTCAAGTGTAAAAACAGCAACCATGATCACGCGCTTACACTACCTACATTAGTTCAAAATGACCATCGCCCACGAAAATGTTGACTCAAAAACTAAAGCTCCAAATACGAATCTGTGTACAGAAATGTATTTTGAATAAAAACGAGATCATTAAATTCAATGCTATAACTAATGACGACAATAAATTGATAATCATCTGCCTTGATTTATTTACAGATTTTACAGAATTTGGGGAAGGTCGATCGTACAGCAGATGAAATTTTCGATGAGCATTTGAATAATTTCCAACTTCAACAAAGTTCGGCCAATAGACTACAAAAGGAATTCAACAATTACATAAGATGTGTACGAGGTATGAGTCGAGCTTATCAGTTATTTTAGTTTTCTGAAATCTTTTGATTGTTTTATGAGTCGGCATTAAAAGTATTGGTTTAAACAAGCAACTAAAGCGCAACTTTTAATAAAGAATTATTTTAAAATTTTCCTGAAAAATCAAAATTGTTTAAAAAAATAACGGTTAAATAATATTTGAAACATAACGGTTGAAAAAGTTTTGAATTGAACCGGTTCATTTGGGTAGAAATTTCAAAATTTTAAAGTCTGTTTGTAAAAGTACACATTTTTATGATCAATCATTCTTCTTTGAGGAAATGCCCTTGAAATTCAAAACCATAAAAACTATTATCAGTCAAAATTTCTTATCAAAATTTATCATTTTGATTGTCCCTACAGCGGTTCAAGTAGCATCAAAGTCTTTAATGGAAGCCATAACAGAAGTATATGAGCCAACATGGTCAGGATCAGAAGCACTTTACGGTCAAGCATCATCCATTGAAGTTTTATGGCAAGACTTTTCGCACAAGTTGGGCGATCAGGTGTTGATTCCATTAAACACTTATACCGCACAATTTCCAGAGATGAGAGTGAGTTTTAAGCCAGCTTGCATTTATATTGTAATTGAATTTAAAATTCTATTTTTAAACACCAGAAAAAAATTGACAAGCGCGGACGTAAATTGGTCGATTACGATAGTCAACGTCACTCCTTCCAAAATCTCCAAGCGAATGCAGCAAAACGTAAAGATGATGTAAAGTTAACAAAAGGACGCGAGCAATTAGAAGAAGCCAAGAGAACATACGAAATTCTCAATACTGAGTTGCATGACGAGCTTCCAGCACTTTTCGATTCAAGAATATTGTTTTTGGTTACAAATCTACAGACACTTTTCGCATCAGAACAAATGTTTCATAATGAAATATCAAAGATTTACTCGGAACTTGAAGCAATTGTCGACAAATTGGCAACGGAATCACAAAGAGGATCATACACGCTGAAAAAATTGAATTGTAAGATCCACAAATATCCACAAACTTTTGACTTGATTTTTATTGCAATTTTGTCTTTTCGTAGCAACTTCTAATAATATTCAATCACCCGTCAAAAGTCACGAAATATCCAATGCTTCAATCAGCTATCCAACTCCAATGACAAATGGAAATTCAACAGCAGCAACAAACGGTGGTAAGTTTATATCCAATATTATGATTAAGTGAGCCAAAGAGTGAGATATATGAAAAAAAAGGTTTCAAAAAATCATTTTTGCTATTCTTGCTAGATTCAATTAAGATCCACTTTTGATTCCGCGTGTGAGATTCGTACACAAATTAAGCTAATTACTTTCCATATTGAAAAAAATAAACATTTTAACTCAAAATTAATCAAAATGAAATTCTTTTTTTTGTTGATGTGAAAGTAAATGAGAAGTAAAGTAGTTGATTGGATGCTTATTTAAGATATTAATCTAATTAGAACACAAATGATTGGGGGAAAGAAGGTTTAATTGACTTTAATACTCTTTCTCTTAATGTTTGGTAAATTGCTTAAAAGATATTAAGTATGATTAATTAATCGAATCATATGGAAGAGCAATAATGATTTCAGATTTTTCGGATGAGAACTAAGAACACAAGACATGACGAGAACAAGAAATCATGATTGTCCTTCCATTTGTCGTGCTTTGAGAAACAAAAAATGAAGAACGGAAGCGTATTTTTGCTGTTGGATTTGATTGATGGAATTTGGGGTGTATTTGGAAGTGTGTTAAGGGTACATATGTCATTATGTCATCAGACAGGCTTGATGTTTTCTGGGGAAGAGTAAATTAAGGGATTCTTGTCTTGGGCCTGATTTTAACGCTACTGGGCAGGGGCGTAGCCCGAAAATTTTTAAGGGGGGCCCATTTTCGAAAATTAAAAAACCGTTATTTTGTATCCTTAAATCTATATTCATTCTTCTTAAGTTTAAATATTTAATTCACTATTCATACATTAAATTTAATTTTTCAAGCTGATTTTGACATTTCTTTCATCACTTCCTCTACATTAACTGGTTCTTCTCTATAAATACTTAATAAAACAATTATCAGATTTTCGTAGGGGGCCCGGGCCCCCTATGGCCCCCCTGGCTACGCTCCTGCTACTGGGTACATCCTACCCTAGTCTCAGATGAGATTAATTTATATTAAATGCTGTATTAAATTTATTGTCATTCCTACAAAAAAGTAGCCCTAGAAACAAGTTTTTGACTGATTAAGGTCACAATTAGAGAAATTTGGAAACAGACCGCCTCTAGTAGTGGTCCTTAAGTGACCTAGAAGACCCCCTCAAACATCTTAAGAAATATGAGTATCCACGAACACAATGCATGCAACTTAAAAATTAAATCAACAGCAAATATGTGTTAATCCAATCCGCAAAAGTACGCTCGAGTTCTTTACATGTGACATTCATGATTTCATTGATTTAATTAAATTAATTTATCATATAAAACAAAACATATTCCGTAATAACTTTTTTGTGTTTGCGCAATGTTTAGTTGTTCTTTTTTTTTTCTTTTCCATGTACTTTGATATCTAAAAAATCATTTATATGATATATCCCCCCAAATATGTACACAAAAAAAAATCTATAACATTCATCATGTATGTATGACAAAATAAAAACAACATTTGTAGCCACATCTTCACCCTCTCCAATATCATCAACTCATTCACCGACGCCATACGAACAAGAACCAGATTTTAAGCCTGAAATTGAGGCACAATATCAAAATCAAGAAAGCTTAGGGCTTTCAGAGCCATCATATCAGAATGCGACGGCTATAATAAGTAAAAATAACATAAATAATAATAATGATGCAGGTGATGGACCGTCCACAACCACAACAACAACAATAAACGGTGTCAATAATAATAGCATTAATGTTGAAGTTATTGAGGAACAGCAGAAGAATGGTACGACAGAGACAACGACGATGGATGAGTCACATTTAGATAATAACAGTCAAAATAACATTAGTAAGAGCAACATAAATGAAAATAACCAAATAAGCAATAATCAAAACTTACCGAAAAGTAATAATATTAACAATAACACGGATGAGTTATACGATATTCCGGTTGGTGAGTACTGCATACTATTTCCTACTAACCAACTCTATATCTATCTTTAATTTCTCTATCATCGCGCTGCATTATTATTTAAAGCTAACAATCAGTTAACAGGCGAATAATACAATTTACCAACAATTGCTTATTTTCTTATTGACGATGCTAGTTTTGAGTTAGAGATTTTTTTTATATTAGCTTCAGAAGTCGTTGATATTGCGTAATTTGGTCCCTACTCTTATCTACCTGCCTTGCTTTTTTTCCAAAATAAATATTTATTTATTCAATCTTTATTGAGCTTTACACAAGAAGCTTTTGATTATTGCAGAATTTTATTTTATGTTGATCAGAGGTTTTTTTGAGTAAGATCTTCTTGGTTGGAATTCTTTAGAGGATTTTTGAGGAAGTTTTGATAAGGTTCTTTAAGTTTTATAAAAGAATTTAAGGTCACGGAGCTGATCAACTATCTGTTGTGATTTCTGGGATTAATCAAGGCTTCCGCAGGTTATAATCTTTGCTAATGTTTTGTTTTTTAAACATTATAATCTGGGATTGATCTTGAGTTTGTAATCCTCCAACAACGAATGATATCACCAACAAAATCTTACAACATCTCTGAATCAACTGATCAATTCAAAAATATCCAATTACTAAGTTCAAAATGATCTTTATTACAGGTGCCAACACAACAAACTTGCCGCCAGGTGTGCTGTATCGTGTTAAAGCTACATATAAGTATGTAAGAGAAGACGCTGATGAGTTGAGCTTTGATGTTGGTGAAATCATTGATGTTATAGAATATGATGATCCAGAAGATCAGGTAATTTTGGGTTTGCTCTTCTGTCAAATTCGTCTTTAGAGCGTCATTCACTTATGATGTCGATCGTGTAAAGATGAAAGGAGTTTAGTGTTTAGTGGCATTATCGAGAATGGAATTAGAAATTATTTATTTATTTGTCGACGATACCGTCGGTAAGAATTCGTATTTCTACATGTTTTACTTTTTACATTGATTAGTGATATATTTCATATCACTATAGGTGATGTAGAATCAAGCTTCCAATCTTCAAATCTAGGTTTCGATTAAATTCAGGCTCTCGTTTCAATCTTCTATGGGCTTGACGTGCTACATTTCAGGTCTGTTCTGACAATATTCCACTGCAAGGTAATCGTGTAGCTCTCGTTGCTATTTCTCCCGCTACACTTAAAGTTCATGATCCGTTCCTTAATCCAACGTTGCCCAAAATGCCCAATTATGGCTTGATTTCGTACATTAAGCAGTCGATGTATCTTAACTTCTGAAAAAGAACAAATTTGGAAATGGCTGGATTTGAACCTTCGACCTTCGAGTTACCATACCAAATTTGAGTCAAGCGCCAAACCTTTTCGACCAGCAAGGCACTTAACTGCACGGACATATGTTGAGACAAATCTTGGAGACATCATAAGTCAACGACCTAATCATACCAATTTAACATGTCATATAATCTGAACTGATTGAATCATTTCAAATTAATTTTACAGGAGGATGGCTGGCTGATGGGATCAAAGGACGGAGGGAAAGAGAAAGGAATGTTTCCTGCAAATTTTACAAGACCGTTGTAACGAGTCAAAGAAAAAATATATTTTTTTTATGTTCGTCCATCTTTATTATTGACTTTCTATATTTATACAAAATATATTATTACCCCCCCCCATTCCTCCCCTCTTTTTTTGAAGATCATCGAAATAACTTTAAATTCTATATTTGACCTTATTTGACCTTCCATATTTAATTATCGAAAACAAAATAACACCAAATCACATTCACCAACATTATTTTTATAATTTTTTTGTTTAATATTGAGAACTATTAACACTAACGTTGTGGGATCTGCTTCCAATTTTTTTATATAGTCAAATATTTTCAAGATTTTCTAAAAAAAAAGTTTATAAGAAAAAATTTTAGTAGTGTTGATGGCGCGTGAAGCTTTGGAAATTGGGGGGAACTTGATGATATGTGAAATACTTGCTAAGTGCCCTAAAGTCGAATGCATTTTTAGGGTTTTTTTTGAACAGATTATTTGCCAAAATTTTACAAATAGAAAGGAAATTTGTTCAAAAATTGTTCATTCGTACTTGCTGTACTGTAAAGTGAGCTTAATAAAGTCACCACATAATTTCAAAAGCTTTCTGCACCTCAATGATATCAAATAAATTTGATGGCGAACTGACGAAAATAATAAAAGAATTAATAATAATAATCCTTCCATGCCAAGTATATATATTTATACAACTGCATATTTATGGAATATATTGTAATATACAATGCAATTTCTTCTTCCCAATTATACACAAAAACATTTTTCTTAAATTTTATTATTTTAAATGTTCAAATGTTGGAACTAACCGAGAGAAACCCAATTGCCAAATTTTTTTCTTCTCACTAGAATGGAGAATGAAAAAATGAATATATAAAAAAAAGTTTTTTGACCTACTGTAGAATTTGAACAAGAAATAATGACGAAGAGTATATCAAATGATGTGCCTTTTTTTAGTAAACAAAACAGAATTTTTTTTTCTTTGTGGGTGGATTTTTGTACACGTTAAGTGCTGGAAAAAAATGAATACCCGTGCTCATAAGTTGTTAATTATTATTATTATTATTACTAATGTCTGCAAATCTTCTAGTTTAAATTGAAAAGTTCGTTACAAATTTAACATTTTGAATTTTAATTGAAGCTTTTTCAGGTCATAAAATGTGAAGTTAACCTCTAAAAATTCAAATTTTAACGGATTTCAATAACCTGAAGTTGTGTTTGATTCAAAATTCCAATTTTAACGGATTTTAATGACTTAAAGTTGGCTCAGATTAAAATTTAACGGATTTTAATGCCTTGAAGTTGTCCTTCATTATAAAAATTTATCGACTTGATTAAATGAAATGTTAAATTTGTAACGAACTTTTTTAATATATTCTAAAGATTTGTGTATATTAACTTACTATAATCACCAGTCTCTAATTTTAATCTTTCTTAAAAAAAAGAAAAGTTGCATTAGTAATTGTTTTAAAGCATAAAAAAAAATGTGTAAAGTCTGTATTCTTTTTCTGTCATTTCTAATATGTTTTTTTTTTTTCTATTAGCCAGAAATTACTCTTTTTTAATACTGTCTTTCTTTGTTGATCAGTTCACAGTTATTTAAATACGCAAGAAAAATAATTCATTTATTTGTAATTTTAACTATTTTTAATTTTTAATGAATGTAGAAATGGAAAAATTGAGATGAAAAGTGAGATATAAAAAATAATAAAAAGAAACGTGTAGAAATTTAATTAAAAGATTCTTTTATTTGCGCCATATGCTAATTTATCATACATTGTGTATCACATAATTCAATATTTTTATTATTATAAGTTTCTATAATTTTTCTTTTAATTAAGTAAATTGTGTCTGCGTTGTTCAAATTATCAACAATGTTTGGAGAACTGAGGCAACTGGATATTATTTCTACGATTGTTCTGATGACCCAGCTTATTTGCGGCTTGAATTCAATGAACTGTCTACACAAGTTAATCGTAACAAATTATACATTCGGCTCCACACAATGCCTACGGACTAAGTTGCTTATAAAGTCTTTCAAATAATAAGTTTTGGCACATCCTCTCTTATTTTCTATTACAGTTTACTTTTATAGATATAAGTTGAATGTCATCGATGGTAGATCATTAACCTTACAGACCAAAATGTTATGACTTTGAATGCAAGACAAGTTCAATTTGACGATTATAGTTCATTTTAACGATTTAGTCATACAACTTGGTTGGTTCATATGCTGAGTGTAGTTTTGGGAATGCATCTTTTTCGCTAGGTATGCAGGTATGTAACATACAATTTTAGACTAGGTTTGCAGTTTTAAGAACCAATGTTCTCAGATAAATGTTTTTGGTAATGGTTTTATGGTTGTAAATCTAAATTAGGGGCATGCTTCGGTAGATTTACTTCTATTGTAAATTTAAATTTGGTATATAAACTAAACAGCTATGATCATTGACTGCAATTCTTATAATATCTTAATATTCTTCCTATTCTTGTCTTAATTTCTGACTATTCCAACCTCTAAAATCAGTTTCATCAGTTCCTTTAATGAACATTTGAGCAACACAGAGTAAATTCTTTTTAATTCTACATCTAATATAAATATCCGTTGATTATTCAATTGGATGGATCACATACCTTTTTGAAGAGCTTTTTCTAAATTTACATTAATTTTGATTAATTTTTATATTTTTTGTCGCCATTGATTTTAACTTTAAAGAAGTCGCAAATTAGTAAGAAAATTTATTTTCATCGACTGGATAGTCTGAATCGTCATTAGCATTGTTTTGGTAGTTTATTGGCAATCCTAAAGCAAATCGTTGTCTAAAGAGCGTTGGAAGTGAATTTCTTTTGATAAAGTTTGGATAATTTCCGTTGAATTCACACCATCCGTAGTCGCCAGGTCTGCTTAAAATTCCTTTAGCTAATGTTATAATTAAATTTATTGTTTTATTAATGTTGATTGTCTGTAAATGAAATCTTACCGCATTCCAAGTTGTACGTTTTGGAACAAACTCTATGAGAATTACTAGTTTTCTTATTATTGTTCATGCACTTCTCTCGATAATTTCCAAAGCATCTATAGTTTATGAAATATTTATTAGATTGGTATTTTGGAGATGATCTTAGTGATAACTTACCTAAACTTATTATTACAGTCTTCTAGTTTGAAATATCCTGAAAAATATTTAAATAATTATTTTGTTGTTGAAGGTTTTCAAGCTTTCAATCACTATCATCAAGATTAAAGTCTAAAAGGCTTGTCATTATTATTGGGTAGAGTAAGGTTAATGATCTATATATCTATATATCCTAACGTTCAAACATATGCTTTCTAATCTTTTTAAAGTCTTAGTCATACTCAAGACTGTTAAAAGTTTGTTCTAAGCAAGTTTTTACGACTTCAACTCTGCTTAAAGCTAGATTTAAAATTACTTTTTAAGGTTCTGGCAAGTGGTTCGGATCCCACTATAAACTGTAGGTCTAAAGGGTGCGGTACAATAGATTCTGTTCTAATTTGAATCGCAGTGCCTCCAGCTGAAAGGCTGGGCCCTTCACACATTATTATTATAAGGATCTGGTTCTTTTAATCAAAGAAAAATTGCTGGGATGTTTAAGATTAACTTTAAATGGATGTTAAATGGCTTTTTTCGTTTAATCATTTGAATGAGTTGACTGAAGGTTTTCTCGAGTAGTTCTTAGTCTCAGCACTAGAATATATAATTATCTTGATGCACTTACCAACAGGACACTCAAGTTTAGCTATTTCTTCATCCAATTCAATGAAGCAATTCTTATTTTCACCAGAACAGAATCCAAGTGCCGTTAAAACTAAGCAAATAGCACCTAAAAGCTTCATTTTTTATAAGAAGGCAAACTTCAACGTTTCCTATTCAAAATCTTAAAAGTTGTTTAATTGAATTATCTGTTGATGTTAAGACTTGAACAACTGATAAATGACTGATAATTGTTTAAGGATGCTGCATCCTTTTTATACAATTCTATTTTGATTCATAATTTATGTCATAATAATGAATTATTAATGTGGTTTTGATAAATATTCAATAAATATGTTAAGTCCGAGTAATCATTGACGACCATCCTTGCGCACTAGCTGCAATAGAAAAGAGTAATTTGCATGATAAAATGTAAAAGACTTCCTTTTTGCAGCAGAGATTTTTCTTTATTCAAAGCTTTTTTATGCGATTTTTTCAATGTCCCTAAAGGATCTGCTTGTTTCCAGCCTAAGAATTACTATCCTCAATTAACAATAATCCTTAATTATGCATCTCCAAAAGAGTCATTAAAACTATTTTTTTTGTAATAAGCGTTGTCGTTGTCCCGATAGTCTTCATAGGTAGAAAGTAGGAAAAAAAATCATAATTAAGAGTAAACAGCGACCATTCTGTCATGTCCAGCACTCGGATAGTCAAAATTCTCCGTCATTTGACTTCTCTTTCCCATCACACCAGGCATACAATTCTCCGACAATCGACACTTCTGCTCTCCATTCACATTTATACATCCGCTACACTTTTGATCACAATCACAAATCAGATCCTTTGCACACTCATTTCCTTTAATTTTATATTCGTTTGATTTACGCGAACAATGCTGTCCGATGGTTTTAAGGCATTTAATTGCACCACAGACATTGACTTTGCTGCCTAATAAGCATGACTCGGGATCATCTGAAGCTGAGTTGAATACACAGTGCATCTTTTCAAATCTGGAAGTAAGAATTGAAGGAATTTCATGTAGAATTGGAAATTGAGTCGTAAGCAACAAAGAATTTGACTATATGCCTTTATGAGCTGACAACTTAACCCCAAAAATTCGGAACTTAACCTCAAAATATTCATCAACTTACGGTGACATGGCTGAAAAGGCAGACGATCCAGTCAAAATCACTATCACAACCATGAATCTATAAATTTCCATATCCTTCCTAATTACTTTAAAATTACTAGACACTACTTAACGTTTACTCCTAAGGACTATACTGAATGGCGAAATTACTTGAGAATCGAATCCTTTTTATATCCAAAAAGATTTGACGGCCTTCCATGTCCACTCATTGATTATTCATTATCAAAAAAATAATTTGAATTTGAATTTTGAATAATAATTTGAACCAATTAATTTTGGTCTTGTGGATTATAAATATTAATCTATTAAGTTCGTCAATGGATGGTGATAGGCAGTTTGATCATCTGTTGCTGTTACGATGTAAAAATATGATTTTTTGGCAGTTAAAGAATAAAAATTACATAAGAACTGACACTTTTTAAAGCTTACTAGGCACTATTAAGATATGAACTGAATGATGACTTTCTATCTTGGGTTTGAAGTTTGAGTTATGCATTTTGAAATTCACGTGTATTACAATTGATAATAAGGCACAATATATCAATTTAATGGAATGAAGTCAATGTGTTACACAAGATGCAGGGAATGGGTCATAAACTCTTTGGGTGTTCATTCATAAAATGGATGTATTATCCAGACTACCGTCATTTCATATAACATCCGTTAAATTTGTATTCAAAAAAATTCAATATTTTTATGACCGTTATAATATTCAAAAATTTTTGACGGTTAAACCAGATTTTAACATGCACTTACTCATTTTGCTCAAATTTTATTGTTAATAAAGTTGAGAATAGATAAAAAAAAATATAAAATTAATAATTTATGAAGAACTTTGGGATTTGTGCAGAATTGGTATTAATTAAAATAATTTATTGTTTACATAATGCAACTGTTTTTTGAAATTTGAATTTTCGGCTCTAATATCGAAGAAATCGAAATTAATTTCGAAGAAGTCCGAAACGAAATGGCGGTAGTCTGGTATTATCTTAAATATTTCATCAAATATCGTAAATAATTGAAATATACTTTTTGGGGACTGACTAATAAGATTAGAATCATATGCGACCGAAACATTTCAATTGGAACTTAATTTGATGTTTTTATTACTGAATCAATATTCAACAAGTCGATGTGTCTTTGGTTGATCAGCTGATGCTGGTAGTTAAGCTTTTATTGTCAATTCTTACAGTTAAGCATTAAGCTCAAAATTGTTTGTTAAGTTTTCATTAATCTTCATCTGTTTTTTAGAACATAATATAAAATAAATTTAAATTAGATCAGGATAATTATCCAGAACATGGCTTATAAAGTTAGGCAATTTCTAGGAGTTTCACAAAAATGTATAGGACTTCCGGAAGGTTTTGTTTTTAACATTTTAATGCACAGGACATGATAGAATAATGAGACTAAAGTGGTAAGTAAACATGGTAAGTATTGGTTTTATTTGCTTATTTGGAGTTTGTAAAGGAATTTAAGACTTTTCTTATTTTGGCAAACTTCTAGAAGTTTCGAGTGTGTACCTTTTTCTAGAATAAATCTCGAGTAACACAAGTTGGATAATCGAGACGAAATAACTTAAGACTTTGAGACAGGGTTGCGATACAAGCACCTGTGCACAGGTGAGAACCGTACAATTCCTTGATAATTTGTAAGGTTTTATTTGAATTTGTATGGGATTGTTTAAAAAACCTTATAAATTACTTCTTCTTCTTCTTCTTAATTAACTTTATTAAGGTCCATCAGCTTATTGCTATTTAAAGACCGTTCACAATTCCAGGTAGTTTAATTTACAAATATACACAAAGAACAATCAATAAAATCCAGTCAACTCCAAATGGTTGACAGAAAACATGCCCGCGATAAGTCAAAACAACAAAAAACCATAGCTAGGCAAAAAATTCCATCTTCAGTTGTCGATGATCCAGATCCCTTGACAGTCCTTATTGCAATTCAACTTGTGATATTCCAAATAGATTCAAATTTTTGTTATGTCTCGATTGTGATCTGTCAATGTAATTAATATGTTCTGCTGTATTCCGAGATGATAGATTCCTGTTTGTCAATGTTGATTTGTTGAAATCCAGTCAGCACCAATTGATTGATAGAACTTGCCCGCGATATATGGGGAAACACACAAAACCCATCGCGAGACAAATTCTCCTCACAATTGACGATAATCCGTTGTATTCCAATAATATTCAATATGTCTAGGTTATGGTTATGATAGAACCTTCTTGTCCACGATTGTTGGTAAAACACAAAAAACCCACGTGAAACAATTGATTCTCCTCACAACTGCCGCCGATCGTGATTTGTCAATGTAAATAAATGTTTGTTGGTATTCCGATGATGATCTATTCCGTTTTATCTAGGTTATTTGCAAAATTTGCACATTTTTTTTTTCAATTTCAATTTATATCCAAAATTTAATTAAATCGCGACTTTGCTGAGTTTTCTCCTTAGTATCTTTGTTCTTTGTTACTTTGAAGACAGTTCCCTGAGGTTTGTGACTTATTCCTACGCGTAATTAATTAATTTTGAAGTATTGCACAATTCCACAACCTCCTCATTCGGAGGTTGGGAGAAAACTGACCTTATAAATTACTTCTTCTTCTTCTTCTTTATCTTTATTAAGGTCCTTTTTTTAAATAAATTTTAAGACCATTTAAATTCCAAATTTGTTTTACATTTTTTAAATACGAACTGCATTACAGGACATTATGTGTTTTAGTGTTATATTTTATCGTACAAATTAATTTCTTTCAAAAAGTCGAGTATTTTGTCTGTGGCATTTTTGTCGTCAATTTGTAATGTTTGATAGTTTATGTTAAGCTTAGCAATAGCGGCTTGATTATTTGCGCACTCAAAAATATGTTTTACAGTGAGAGCTTCATTGCATGTACAGGTTGGGGGAGAGGTTTTTTCTATTAAGTGAATGTAAGTAAGATTAGTGTGTCCGATTCTTAGTCTTGAAAGTACTGTCGAGTCTTTTCTGTCGTATGTGTTGTTATTAGTCCATTTGTAAACAGTCTTTTTAATGTTACCTAATTTATTTCCGTTGTTAATTTCCTTGTCCCACTCATTTTGCCATTTTTCTGTGACGTACTCCTTTATGTATTTGGTCATGTCTTCGATTAGTATTTTGTAATTTGTGGAGGGTTGTTGTCTTGTTGCCTCTTTTGCATCAATGTCAGCTTCCTCGTTTCCTTTAATTCCTACATGACTTGGTACCCACATTATTGTTGTGTTAATGTTGTCATTTCGTAATTTGTCTTGAATTTGCTTCAACAATGTGTTCTTAGGCCTTAGGCTTTTTAAGGCTTGCACGACACATAGTGAGTCGGTGCATATAAGTGTTTTATTTGTAGTTCTATGTTTTAAGGCTTTTGATAATGCAAAAAGTTCTGTTGTATCTGTTGTAGGTTCTCACCTCTGCACAGGTGCCTGTATCGCAACCCTGCTTTGGAACGAATTTTTCTTGTGCTAATCGGGAGCAATTCGAATTATTAGTTAAAATACATCATGTTTATTTACTTTTTAATTTCATTTTTATTATTTTATTAATTTTTATCCATTTTTCATGTCAGGTTTTTTAAAACTTTTTTTTTCAAACATAAAATTTCTTAAATAGACACAAAGTGAGATGACAAAAGTTTAAACTTCCTGTAGACCATAAAAACATAAAAATTGCTGACTCGAATCATCTTTAGCTGTCAAAAAAATAACGAACTTTTTTCAAAAAAATGAAGAAAAAAACATTTGTAAGGTTTTGGTTTTTGAATTTTAAATGACAGTTGAATTTTTAAAACTAAAGTTCTCATATTAGTGATTAATTTATAACTAACGGAATTAAGCATCTAAGGGAAAGAAACATTGAAATTTATATTTTGGTCATTTTCATCATTTATTGTTTTTAATTTTTTTTTCTTTTTTTTTGTCATTTCACTGTGAAAAATTAATTCATTTTTTTGTAAACATTTTTAAATCACATTTGAGAATTTAATTCTTTTATTTTTTATTATTTTTATTTTTTTTGTATATCCAGAACATCTGTTTATTCATTCTCAAGTGTGATTTTTCGTCATTTCTTCTACAAATTGTATTTCTTTTTTGTGTCTCTTAATTAACTTTCATTTCATTTTTATATTTTTTTTAAAGGATAAAGAACTTTATGGGAAATTTTACATCATACATAAAATATGTACAGCAGAATTAATGCATGTGAACTGAAAATAAAAGGATTTTCTTTTTCGTTGGAAGAATTTAGAATGTTGAGAATGTTGATTTTGAGTATTTTTGTAAGCTTATTGTATGCTTCTGTTGTGGATGTACTTGAAATGGAGATTTGATGGAAGATTGAGGGATTCGATGCAGATACCATTAAATTGAAGGGGCTTAACTAGAGTTCTGGAAATCAATAAGACTGAATTAAGTAGCGTGGTTACTGGCTAAGTAGCTGTTGACACTTAATTAATGCGTCATAGTCTAACGTTGATTTTTGGAGATGTCTAGATTCAAATTTGAGTTTCTTTGGAATATTTTAGGCTCCAGAATTATATCAGGCATAAGTGAGCTACTCTCTCATTTAAAATTGAGCCTAAACATAGTTTCAAATCTTCAAAATAGCGATTAAAGTGCCTCGAACCAAAAAAGGTTGTTCAGAAGTTTGACCAGCAAGTTAGAAGCTCATAGCAGACTTTAAGCTCACAAAAAATCCTCAAAAATTCAACATTCCATCCATCCTTCATTCTTTAAAAAAAAAAGCAAGAAAGATAAAAAAAATATTCATAAATTTTACATTTTATTCTTTAAAGATTTAAGATGAGAAGGAAGAAGACAAAGTTCCTTTTTTAAATTAGCAATTTAAACTGTTTTTAAGTTTGTCCATAGAGGAGAATTTAACATTAAAAATAATTATTCCATGTTTTTAATATGATTTAAGTTCAAAAAGGAATAGAATAATACAAAACATTTCAAGTATTAGCTTTTTTGGTTGTACTGAAAAGAATGTGAAAAATTAGGTGCGGAAAATCAAAAAATAAGATTAAAAACAGTGAAATTAAACCAAAAAAGAGGTAAAAAAATGCCTTAAATGTTATAGGAAAAATTATTTTAAACATAATGTAACGAGAACTTCATTTTAATTCAATAAACAAATTGTTGGTTTTTTTTCTTCTTTTTCTCTGTTTGAGGATAAAAATTTAATTACTTTGTATTTTTTTTTGTTGTTGTTGTTGATGTTTCTCCTTAATTTCTTGTGTTAGTCAATTTCAATGATCTTTTTTTAATATTTTTTTTTTCATTTCTTTGTGAGTTTTGGGATATTTTTTTTTGTCGGGTTTTATTTGTTTTAATGAATTGACAATCATCAATCCATTCATTTGGGATATATACTCTAAGATAAGAGCAGCTTAGTCTCCCTCATCACCCTCATGTTTTCGTTTCTTGCCTCGGGCAGGTGATTCAGCTGAAAATAAAATAGATTTTTATTTTTGTTTCATTGATTTAGTGGATATTGGCACTATGGATAGACTTTACTGCTTTTATTTTTAAACTAACATTTAAATCTCAGGATTAAATTTAAATCCAAAATAATCTTCATAAACCATAAAATTATAGGGGTTCCAGAATTCCCGTCCCCGTAAGATTTTGGGAATCGGGAACGGGAATATTCTCAGGAATCAATAAAGAAAAAAAAGTAAAGCTACACTTACACCATGTATTTTATTTAGGTTTTTAAATCAAATTTAAATTCTATTTGATTTGATTGTCAAATTGATTCTTTTGACAATAATTTCCGTTTAAAATTCAATTCTTTTTGGTTTTAGGACAATTCTTAAAGTACGATTTTAAAAAACTGATTGCATTAACGTGCTGGTCTAGCAATCTATAACTGTAAAATGCTTCCAAACCCAAGATATCCTAATTTATTGACTTCTGATAATCTACGAATATGTACATGATTAAATTACAGCTTATGAACTGATTTTTTGATTACTTACATGTCCAATATTAATTTCAAGCACGTTTTTTTTATTTTGGAAAAATTACTTTAATCCAATGTCAATTAAGTTTATTATTTTGTGGACATCATACATTTAAAAAAATACTTTCAAATACTTTTTCTTTTCGTTTTTCATAAATATATGTTTTTGATTTAAAAAACATCAAATTTGAGTTTAATATTTCAACTCTTAAACTCCTTAACGTATGTTTTCTTTATTATAATTTTTTTCTTTAAATTTTGGTTTTTTCATGGAAGATACAAAATAAAATAAAATCTAATTTGAATTGTCGGTTTTTTTGTTATGAAAACGGGAATTTCGAGAATATTCCCGACAGATTTTCGAGAAACGGGAACGGGATTCCCGTTCTCGGGAATTCCCGATTTTAGAACCCTTATAAAATTATTCCCAATCTCAAATTTCAATAACAGTCCCAAAAAATCCAAAACTACATAAAAATACTTACATTCACCTTCAGCGTCATCCTCAACCTTCTCAGCTGTTTCATCGCCATCTATTAAACACAAAAATTACCAAATTTACATCAAAAATTCAAAATTAATCCAAAAAAAAAGTTGATAATTACCTTCTGAATCGATATCCTCATCATCTTCGTCCGCTGGATTTTCATTCTCATTCCAGTCAGAACTGTCTTCTTCAATATCATCTTTGTAAACTAAATTAAATTAATTTAAAATCAAAAAATTCAATGCAAAAAAAGAAAAAAATTTACCATCTTTTAATCCTATATCATCATCCTCATCATCGTCGTCGTCTTCATCGAAATCCTCTTCTTCTGCTACATCATCTTCATCACCTGTTGATTTAAAAAAAAAAAAAAATTCAGTTAATTTCGCAAAATTCTTTAAGTCTTTACAAAAACTAACGTTGTGCCGTTGGCTTGAAATAAATCTGATTAAGAATGGAAAAGATGCTCATAACAACTAAGAACATGCTCGCAAGGGAAGGTCTCATTGTGGCTGGTGACACATCATTGTTGATTTTTAATGACTTTTCGAAATCATCTTCCAAGTCTTTTATACTATTAGAGTTACTATTACTAGCATTATTGCAGGACGAAGTTGCTTGCGCTTTCTTCTTAGCTGCTACTCTCTTCTCGAGCTCTTCAAGCTCTTTTAAATCGATATCTATCCCATTTATACTAAACGCGTCTGGCACTTTATGAGCGTGATTTGTACGAAATAGAATTAATGCGGATTTGAGATCAATCGTCGGATTAAAAAACGAATCAACAACTAATTCTCGGATTAAGAATTAATCTTGAGTTTAATTTTCGGATCAAAACTTAATCCTTAGTATAATCCTTGGATTAAGACTTAATCTTGAGATTAATAGAGGAATTAAGAATTAATCCTGGATTTCAAGCTCAAATCATTAAATTTAAGGACATTTCGAGCAAAAAAGTGTCACAGGCGCAACTTCTTAGTCAATAAACTTCAGAACAAGCAGTCAAACCCATCCCATAGCCAAAAAAAGAGCACACAATCCAGAAATACAAAGTTTTATAAAAAATAAAATAAATTAAATGCAAATCAATTACTGTCTTCAACTCCATTTGCGTCATCGTCGTCCTCGGACAAAGCTTCATTATCTTCTTTATCGAATCCGTCCAAGAACTTTAACGATTTTATCAATCGGAATACATTATTTCTGTAATTCTCAGTTGATGTAACATCATTGTTGAATAAGTCCAATGTCTCCAATTTTTCGAGAGTTGCCAATGGTTTCAATTCATCAAAGTCTTTGATCTTATTGCCGCTTAAATTAAGTGATGTAAGCTTGGGACTTGTTAGTAAATGATTTAAACCATTTGAAATTCTGCAAAGGCAATAAAGTGTCAATTGAGTGTCTAAAAAGGAAGTAAGGAAGCAAAGAACTCACCTGTTATCAGATAATTCTAGTTTTTTAAGGCTCGGTAATTTGGGGAAATTCTTGAGTGACGTGATGCCAACGTTTATCAAACTGAGCTTTTCTAATGTGGTAAATTCATCTGTTAAGCCTTCAATTGTGGTACTGCGACAGTTGTCTAAATTGAGTTCTTTGATCTGAAATTAAGGCAATTCCATGAGTGAAAAAATGCAAGTAAAATTCTTTTTGATCAAAATACTCTTAAAATAACACCTTTTCCGTTCTTTTAAAAATTTATAATTAGTAATAACTAGGGTTCGCCCACATGCGTATCCATGCGCATACATGCAAATTTCACATGCGCATGTACTGCATGTAAATTTTTTAAAACAAATTCTGCAAAAATAATTTTTTTATTTAATTATATTCCTTTTATCATATTTATCAAAAATTTCATAAAAAATTACAAAAGTCCTCGTGTTTTGATCGAGTGACTTCAGCGCATTTTTGTGTTAGCGATCAGTATTTGATTATCTATTTATTTTGCGTTCATTTACAGATCATTAGAAGATCATCAATTAGCAAATATTTATAATGAATGCTTATATAGAAAGGCTTTATTATTTAACGGTAAATAAATAATTTGAAATTTTCCCGCTAAAAGTTGCACTTCAAAAACATTAACTATAGTATAATTAATAATTTGTAATGATTTATCATTAAACGTTTTTTGGAATTCAAATTTTTTAACGGTTAATAAATAATTTGAAATTTTTCCCGCTTAAAGTTGCACTACGAAAAAATTAATTATAGTATAATTAAATAATTTGTTGCAATGAATTTTCATACAGAAAGGGTTTATCATTTAACATTTTTTTGTAATTCAAATTTTCTAACGGTCAATAAATAGTTTGAAATTTTCCCGCTATAAGTTGCACTACGAAAAAATTAATTATAGTATAATTAAATAATTTGTTCCAATGAATTTCCATACAAAAAAAGTTTATCATTTAACGGTTTTTTGAAATTCAAATTTTACAACGGCTAGAAAAATTTAACGGTCAATAAATAATTTGAAATTTTGCCGTTAAAAGTTGCACTAAAAAAACATTAATTATAGTATAATTAGATAATTTGTTGCAATGAATTTCCATACAGAAAGAGTTTATCATTTAACGGTTTCTTGTAATTCAAATTTTCTAACGGTCAATATAATAATAATTTGAAATTTTCCCGCTATAAGTTGCACTACGAAAAAATTAATTATAGTATAATTAAATAATTTGTTGCAATGAATTTTCATACAGAAAGGGTTTATCATTTAACATTTTTTTGTAATTCAAATTTTCTAACGGTCAATAAATAGTTTGAAATTTTCCCGCTATAAGTTGCACTACGAAAAAATTAATTATAGTATAATTAAATAATTTGTTCCAATGAATTTCCATACAAAAAAGTTTATCATTTAACGGTTTTTTGAAATTCAAATTTTACAACGGCTAGAAATTTTTTGAAATTATAGAGGTAATATTGAAATCATAGAGGTAAAATAAAATTTGAGCAGGTTACACTGAAAACAAAACAAAAATTCATTAATTATAGCATAAATACACTGTTTTAAGATTTTTAAATGTCCGGCGGGCCAATAACTCGATATAACGGAACTAATGCAAAAAACTAGAACTCTCTACGATGTCTAGATTAAAAGTTTTTCTTAGCAGCCGACCAGCCAGCCAGCCAGCCAGCCAGCCAGCCAGCCAGCCAGCCGACCATAGTGCGTTATTAAGCTACCTTTTTGAAACAAGTTTCAAAAATGCGCTAAAAATATGATAAAAATGTTGAAATTCGCTTCAAAACTGCTTAAAAAGACAAGTTCCTACATCAGAACACTTCTAATTTGACCTTGTTCTCACAAGATTTGGTGTCAAATTGATCAAAAGTGTCCAAATAATCATTATAGAGGATGCTGGGTTATAAGTCCAGAAAATCAAAGTCAATAAAGGTTTATAAGTCCAGATACAAATTGCACCTGGACTTAAAAACCTCACGTGCAGTTTATAAGTCCAGGTACAAATACAGCTTGAATTATAAACTGCACGAGAGGTTTTTAAGTCCAGGTACATTTTATATCTGGACTTATAAACCTCACGTGTGGTTTATAATTCCAGAAAATTTATAAATTTTACTAATAAAATTCTAGTGCGATTATAAGTCCAGATACATTTTTCTTGAAAATTATTTGTGAAACTATTTCGATTTTTTTTTTCTTTATTAATTATGAAAAATTATGTATTTGACAATAGGCGATTCCAGTAGGGTAAATTGCAAAAATTTTGACTTTAAATGAATTTTTTGTCGAAATTTTTATTAAACCTTACAAGCTTTTCAGTTTATCTGATGTAATTTTTTATTTCCTAATTATTAAGATATTTGAATTCTTCGGCCCGTTGCTTTGTGACCAAAAATAGAATTTTGTAAAAGTTGTAACAGGGTAATCAAAAATTTCATATCAAATCCTCATATTTGCAGCAATAAATGTACACTTAATGATAGATTAAGATCTGTTTAGAAATGTAAATGCTCCAAACTCTAGTAATAAAGCTTAATTATCGAGATAAATCGATTCTCCGAACGTCAATTTTTTGTCAAAAAGCAACGCAAGAGCTTAAATTTTCCTAATCCGTTAAAAAATTACAAAAATTTTTTGATCGAAAATACTGTAATTCTGAACTTTCAAGCTACACTTTTGACAAATTTCATCATTTAAAATAAAAGTAAATTATTATTGATGGAAAATTTAAAAATTTTGCGGAATATATATTTATGATGTAAGCATAATTGACAACGGATTATAAAAGCTCATTTTGAAAAATGATTATGTTGCATAGACCGGGAAAATAATTCTGCAGAATTCTGGAGAATTCTAGTAAAAAATTCTGATCAATTATTCTAGCAGAATATTAAAACAGAATTTCTAGAATTCTGAAAGCTTATTCTGATGACAATTTTTTTCCATTTACAAAAATAAATTTTGAAGAATTCTGATTCAAGCAGAATTTTTTTTGTCAGAATTCTGATAATTCTAAAATCTACTTTTTTAAAAAATGTATATCAAGAATAAAATTTTTTAAAGGTTTTATTAAAAAAAAAACTTTATTCATAGTTTATATTTAAAATGAGTGTGTAGCAGAATTATTCTGATAAATTCTGCAGAATAATTCTGATGACAACAGAATAATTCTGAAGATTATTTCTGATGAATCTTCAACAGTATAGAATTTTTTTTTTCAGAATTTAATTTCCAAATTCTGCATAATTAAAAGTTTTGATGAATTACTTTATGAGAATGTGATTAAAGACTTAGTTTGAGTTTCACTAAGTTTGAAACAGAATTGAAAATGAATCGCTTTTGGCTTTGCCAAATATTTTCCTTTTACTCCTCTGGTTTAAGGCCTTGAATAGTTTGATAAAATTATTCGTTATTAAAACTTCAATTGAAGATTTTAAACAAAAGCGTATAAAATTTGATGAAACTTTTGAATATGAAATTTTGGGAAATCGAATGTTATCCATTTTCTTCAACGTGTAAATGTAATTGTAAAAGCAACATATGGATTAAAAACTGAGTGACTTCGATAAACAAGTTAAGAATTCTTTTTTCGGCTCTGTTATTAAACATTAATGACAATTCGACAATTATTTATCTAATAGATTTTTATTGGTCATTAATTTTTTTAGCTTTATTTGGAAATTATTATTTCCCCTTTCTTATATAGTGATGATCAGTTTATAAAAATATGACGATGCACACTAATACTACAAAAATCCGTTGCAAAAACTACAAACAGCACTTCATCAGTTGAATTGTAATTTAAAATTCCTGATTTCTAAGAAGATAAGTTAATCAAAGTCACTTAATTCTAATGATCATAGGTCAATGATATCATTTTACTTGTTGAAATTTTAAATGCTAATTAAATGAAATGCTATTTGATTTGTGTTTAGAACTCTGAAAAATGTTGTTTTCCAATTTTAATTTCCATAATAATTTGCAATTGTGCAAAAAGTAAGTTATAGTATTTGTACCTGGACATATGAGCTGCACGTGAGGTTTTTAAGTCCAGGTGCAATTTGTATCTGGACTTATAAACCTTTATTAACTTTGATTTTCTGGACTTATAATTTTCTGTGCACGATTTTTGTATCTGGACTTAAAACCCAGCATCTTATAGAGACATATTGAAACGAATCCAGCAAAAATTAGAAGTTTCAATTTTTTTTCTCAGATTTCCATGCGCATGTTACGTGCGCATGCATGCGCATGTCAATTTGGCGAACCCTAGTAATAACTCAGGATATTCATTTTTAAATAGGTAACTAAACGTTTAAAGGTCTATTTACTGAAATAATTCAGTTTTTTCATCGTTAATCGGTTAAGTTTACGAAAATTTCGCTTCTTATATCCTTAAAAAAGTCTTGAAATAACCATTTTTTGTGCTTTAGTATATTTTTAAGCCATAAATATTCACTTTTTCTGTTCTTAAATGCTTTATTCACAGAGAAAATTTAAAAAAAAATACTGCGTTAATCGGTTAAGTTTTGAGCGCTTTATCCAAAACCAACAAAAAACAGAAAATTTGAATTTTGAATTTCCGTTAAATTTATTTATTGCTAAGAATAATTTCTCTTCGAAAAATAACATTTTATTGGGTTAATAATGAATTTAATTTGTTTTTTTTTTTCATGTTAACATCATAATTTTGTGTAATAATAATCAAGGCAATGAAAATAAGTTTGAATCTTTTGAAAATTTGTAATGGTAAAAAAAATTCAAATTACTACAAGTAGAAAAATATTACAACTTGCTTTTTCTCAGTTCCCTTTACTCGTGGAATTGCCTATTAGGAAAATGAGAATTAGCACGTGAATGTCATGTATTTCCGTTAATGCGCGCGTTAAAATTCGAATCTTTGATTCTGTCGACATTCAAAGTCTTCGTACGAGAATGTTAGTAAAGGCAGGCACAAATACAGTTGAATGTAAATATACGCTCAACGTCTGAACATAATAATTCGATAGCTGAGAAGATGTGTATGGATAGACGAAAGCATGCAAGTGTGTTAGGAATGCGAACGTATTTAGGTGATATTTACGTTAAAAAAAATAAAATTCATTAGTAGCAACTTTGCTTTTGCTCGCTCAGCTCTGTTCGTTTTCATTTTTCCCCATGACCATTCTCAACAAAAATGGATGAAGGAAGGAAAGAAAAAAAAATTCTCGCTTGTGTCGTCGTGTAAAAATTTATTTTTTTTTGGACGAAATGAGAGGAATTTTCAATTGAATTTTTCACATTAAGAATGGATTAAAAATGGCAAGGAAGTGCATTTAATCGATAGATTAATGATCAATAAGTGTTTTAAAGTCATTTATGGTGTATAATAATGAGATTTAAGTGCCTTTTTTGCTCGACAAAAAGTGTCACCTAATCGCCATTAGAGTTATGAAATCGATGTTGGTATGAATGAGAGGAGAGTCCAACAACAACAATTTCTACGACTTAATTTTCATTATTATTATTTTTTATAGAAAAACATGGCTTCCCACTTTAATTTCTTTGTTAATTTTAAATGACTTTTTTTAGGGGATAAGAGGAACTAAGGGATGTTTATGCTGTATGCATGATGCGTTAATGACTTAAAGTGTCAATCGGAAAAAAGAGAAATTTTCACATGGAAAGTCTTTGTTTTCTTCTCTTAAATTGTCAATAGTTTAGCAACGCGCGGCATTGCAATCGTGGACAAAAATGATATTTTAAATGCTTTGCTATATGCTGATTAGCATGATCAATTGGAATCAATCCGGAATAAGAAGCATTAATTAATGAGATTCTTAGATAATAATAATAATAATAGATTTTTTAAGGAGAAATTATTGATAAAAAATATGAACTGAGAGAAAGTTAATTAAAGCGATAAATGTAAGCTATTAGACGTGCAGGATATGTGATGGAAAATGAAAGAAAAGCAAGTTTCGCGGTAACATGTTTTTTTTTTATCAAAATGACTTTTTCACATTTTTGTTGATTATTTAATTTTCCATTTAAATTTGCACTTTTTGCTTTAGTTTGAGGCGTTTTTTTGGAAAATGTGGGATAGTGAAAATTGATTAAGGTAATTAAAAAGGATTTATAGATAGCGGTACACGGGAAATATTGGCAAAATATGAATGACGGATGCTTTATTCACCTGATTGGCTTCTCTACCGCGTTTTTCCAATAAAATGCGTTTCTCCATAATCAATACGCGATTTAATTCACTTCACTTCCAATAAATAATACGTTCTTGCTTAATTATTTACTGATATCAAATTTTCACGAAAATATTTTTGATGCTTTTTTCAAACTTCTCGGCGATTTCAATAAAATGCAGTCTATTTGATTGTGTGAGTGTATTATGTCGAATGCGTTTGAATTTAAAAAATACGTTACATGCTTTTTTGCCATTTTCCTTCTTTCTGCTCATTCTGTTGATCTTTAAAATTCATTAATGGCTATTATAGGTACTTTAGATGCTAATTGATAATCCTGCTTACTTAAAATATGTCTGGATTGCAACAATTAGGAGATTTTTCTTTGTTATAACGGTTTTCTTCGGTGATCCAACGTAAATGATGCATGTGCTGATAAAATGAAAACATTGAAATTCCCATCCTATTTTTAGCTTTTTTCCAGCTAATTTCAGGATTCCAACACATTTTATTAAATCCGATTTACTCTTATTAACAAACCATAGTAAAATAGTGAATTGAAGATATTATTTGCGTAACAAACAATCTACAGAATAGTTTTCTCGTGGACATGAAAAGTCGTATTTTGGCGGTACAATTCATCTGAAATTCAAAAATCCGTTGATGGAAATATTTTCAGTACCAAATAAGATTAAATTTTTAATAAATCTTTCTAGATTACTTTTATTCATCATATAATTACATAACAACGATATCATTTCTTGTCATTAATTAGTTTATTCATTTTTATTATTATTTTTTTCATCTTTTTTTACTTCCAATAAACTTCTAAGGAAAAATCAAACATTTTCCGTTCGTGATTATGACTTTAAATAACAATTTTTTTTTCATCATTTACTTTTTTTCTTAATTTTTTATTATTTCGAGCTTATCAAACTTGCGAAAAAAAATCCTTTTTTTTAATTTTCTCAGAAAATTCTTTATTTTAATTATTTAATTTTGTTCTTTGTGATATTGTTGATAATTGACTGGCTAATTATACTCTCATTATGATTAAATTAAATAAAATCTCTGTGACTTGATTTCATGAACTTTTCAACAGGTATCGTCGCATCTTCAATTGTCCCTTGGGTTTAATTTGTTTAAAAATCTCAATAATTATAATCCTCGGTTTAATTTTCTTGTACTGGTTATGAGTTGGTAGTCAGGAAGGTATTTAAATGACTTTTTGATAAATCTGTGAAATTTCTAACCTAAAAATCCAAGATTCATAATTGAGTCAATAATAGTTTAACGAATGATCGTTTACAAGACCTGCATCACAAGTTGAATAGTGGGATCTGATCTGATCTGTAGCAAAATACAGGAAAAAAGGGTAATAGGTACAAAAGATTCAAGATTTAAAATTGTACTGCCACGTGATATAATTTCACACTATTAAATAATGAATAGTCAGATGACGCATTCAGCTCTCGTTGAAAATTTCCACATTATTGTGGTAAACAATACCGATGAAATTGGTCGCACGTGAAGCACGTAACAATGGTTGTTGATCATGAAAATGAATTGCCAATGAAGCAGCATTGAATTCATTGCATAAATTCATAATGCCCATGGTTACTTGCTATTGATACTGTCTGCCAATCTAACAACTATATTCATTTTTAAGGACATTAGCCTTAAAAGTTTCTTAATACATTTTATGACGTCCGAAATATTCATTTCCTATAATTTCCTTCATCAACCTCAGTAGAATATTCATAAAAGAACTCAAAATGATAAAAATAGCAAGAATATGATTTCCAAAAACAATTTCCTTAAACTTTTTTCTCCTTCCTTATTATCTCTCGTCTCGAACTTCATCTTGTTGGAAGTACATTTTAATAGACAACCAAATAGGCAATATTCCAAAGAAGTGAGGGTTGGGAAGGTGATTTAAAATAAAAGTGTCGGAACAAAAGAAGGTTTTGATTGTTCTCGAAGTTGTTAATAGTGATTGAAGGCAAATGTGGAACTACTTTTTAAAAATTCTAGACTAGATTGATTACTAAGGGAGCGACCAGAGCTGGTTCAATATTTAAATTCGACAACCTTAAATTTGAAACAACAGGAAGCACAATCATCATCATTGTAGCCATCATAATTGATCAGCAGAGTAGCCAGAACAGCATTCTCTCCTTCTTCCTTGCTGCACCAATGTAATTGATATTTTTATTACTCCATTTTCTTCAGAATAGCACGATGTTCAATGAAAAGATTCCGGAAATGAGTCAAATATTTATAATCTACATGAAGGCGCTGTATGAATAGTCACTTAAAGGAAATACAAGCCGAAATGGATATGACATTTTAAGAATCATTTGAATACTTCAGTTTAGATGGGAATTGAAAGTAAACCAATTCTATGATTCAATGTAGTGTAAGGGATTCTCAACTTCCGGGAAATTTTTATCAATGTCAATTTAACATGAGAAAAAACATAAAGCACATAAGTTTCATAAAATAAACATACAAAAGCTTTCAATGCTCTACAGGAACTAAACGATTTCGCTTCAATTTCTCATCATTGCTCCAAAAAAATATATATTATAATGCGCATTTTATGGAACTTTTTTTTTCAACATTATTCTTACATTAAAATCATAATAATTACATCATTGGCATATCAACATTTTCACTTTTGTTTTCTTATATACTTATACTTAATACACCGCATCTATAGACGTAAAAAACAACAACGAAACGATGAATCTAATTTTCGACTGTTTTTTTTATTGACAAGTAAACATTAAATGAGCAAATGTCTCTTGGCGCATGACCTATGCTTCTCCAAAAATAAGTTTGATCCTAATGTAATATTATTAAAGTAAATTCCGAGCGAGATATGATGTTGTGGTTGAAGTGAGAGATTATAAGTTAATCTGGAGTTAAGTTGAGTTCTGGATGTTAAAAACTATTAACATTAATAGATTTGGGAATCAAAAGAATTAGGTTATGTTGAATTAAGAGTGTTGAACTAATATAATTTATAATAATTGATTATAGTTCGCGCCATTTTTTCCCCAGCAACGACATCAAAGTTTGGTAAAGCTCATTATTGGTATACTCCTGATTATTGTTTAAAAATTGGAGATTTTTGGCGTCAACCAACGAATTATAAGTTCAAAATTTGTAAATATTTTGAATTTCTAACCTCAACAAATTCAAATTTTAATAATTCTAACCTCAAAAATTGTTTTGAAATCTAATTTAGAGTTATTTGAGCATACATATGACTGGCTTTCAAAAGGAATCAAATTATATTTCTATGATACCTCTTGTATCTCAGTACCTGTCACAAAAACAAGTCATAACTCGCTCGGAATTATTTTTTCTTCTCTCTTAATTTTCCTTTTTCTGCTTTTGGAATGTAAAGCCTCAAGGGACCTTTGCCATTTAAAGAATACTTTCTAAATAATTTTTTTTTCAAATTTTTTTTTTGTCATCAGTTTTGCTTTTACTTATAAAAATATTTTCCTTTCGTGTAGATACTCTCATTATTTTCATCTGATAAACATGCTTGGGAGAATTCTTAAGAACGTAAAGGAAACAATTATAAAATATATTATCATCATCTTCTTACTCACAACAAGCAAATGTGATTCGCCTAATGCAAAAATCAAATTTGATCTCATTATAAACAGCTAAGCGGACATTTACATTCAAAAATAAGAATGAAAATGTAAAAAAATAAATGTTTGTTTTGTTTTATTTTCGTATTTACTTTTTTTAAAGCAAATAAAGCCGAAAGGAAATGACAAATGGGAAATTATGGTAACGCACGTGTGATATTTACTTTTTTTCATCTTCTTTCATTCCATTTTTGATTAAATTGAATTTTCTTTAAAATTCTTTTTTTTTCTACTTAAAAAATTTACTTTTTTTCCTTCTTCTTTGTGGATTTATTGATTTTGCAAAATTTTTATTTTTTTTTCACAGTGTTGTTTTGAGCTTTTTTCTTCTTTAAAAATGCATAACCTTTTTTTGAATTGATTTATACTGCTCTAGGGATTATTAAAAGTATTTATTTTTTGTTGGTTAAAATTTGAAGTTGTAGAAAATTCTAGAATCAAATTCTAGGCTTTAGTGTGGAAAATTATCGGTGGGGGTGGGGTTTCGGACTCCTATCCATCCATGACTACACTTTTATAAGATTATTTTTTTAAGTGTTTTAAGGTTAAATCCGTAAATCCCAATTGGGAGCCTTAATTGTCGTTAAGCGAACGACAGAATTATATAAAATCAACAGTTAATTTCAAGAGTTTAAAGTAAAATAGTAATTCTTTTAGTGCTATATTAAATTTACAATGTACATGCATATTTCATGCATATTTATAAGTAATTATTGATAGCAAAAGGAATCTTTAAGTAATATATACACATTTGTAACGATCATTTACGATTAGAAGTTTCGCATCTTTTTTGAGCTTGAGAAATACCAAGCAATTAGAAGTAAAAAGTTCTTTCCCTTCGTATCGTGATCGAGTTAACACGTCTTGTTACAATTTTTCTAAAACCTCCCCTTATGGTTTAATTAGTGGAACACAATAAAGTGAAATAAGTGTTAAAAGAAAATTATCGATTTGTTACTCAATCACATCTTTTAGAAAAATTTACAAATTTGAGAAAAATTTAGTGCTTAACCTTAATTTGAGAAATTAAAAGAAAGCTAATGCTTTAGAGCTTTGAATTGGCTATTAATTAGTTATTTTAGTGCTGTAACTGTTGAATAAGTGGAAATTGATTAAGTTTGAATAAAACACGTGGAAGTCTCGCGTATTTAGTCTCGCAAAAGTCACGCGATATAATTTCGGCATCAAAAAGTTAATCTTTTCTACTTTGACGTCATATTGAGCATTATTCGACATCCAGAAGCATAATAGAGCACATTATATTGAATAAGTTGGCCAGAAATCAACATCCAGTAACCTCTGTAGTAAGTACAATAGAATAGTTAACCATTTTGTTTGTTTTTCTCTTCCTCGTGCATTCATATTGATTTGTTGTCAAGTAACAAATCAATCAAGTTCAAGGCTACAGAGGCAATCAATTTCTGGTCAGCAAGCCAATCAAGAGGCACATTTCAAGCCAATCAAGTGGCAAAATTTGCATCGAATTTACTCAAATTTATAGTCACCAAACAAGAGGTGA